ATTCTAGCCATAACTTCTTTGCCTTCTGTTGTGTGTAAAGGACATATCTGTCTAGCATATATGTTAAAATTATTATTGTATTTAAATGAATATTTCCACCTTTTGATCTTATTTTGCTCCATGTTACTAATTTTAACTTAGTTCTTTGAATGAGATGATTATACTTACTTTTAATGGATCCTGTAGTTGTGTTTTCACACTCTTTTTTTTGCATTATGCCTACTTAACAATTCTATACTATACAGCCATTTAAGAGTTTTTCTTCTGTTTCAGTGATTGTACTCTGTTAATATTTATTTCACTGTTATGTGATGCTCCTCTGGTAGTATTGGAAGAAGATGATTAAGTTATCTTGTTAAAACACTTGTTTTAAAGGGGGGACTAAATGAATCATTGTAACAATAAAAACTTATAATGCTGGGAATCCTTACCAAGATACTTAGAACCCAAGAAGGCATTTTCATGTTTATTTAAAGAGGATTGAACAGAGATCAGGTCATATAGGTTCTTTCCTTTGCTTTAAGTTTAAAGAGTCATCAGTGATGTCCAGTTATCTCAAACTGTTGGAAGCCAAGCACTTTTACTCTGATTCTACCAATAACCCCTTTCTCACCGATTAATTTTCTGGTGCCATTTTCTTCTTATAATTCTCTCTCTTTTTTATTTTATTATTTTATTTTTTTGGGTTGCACTGCTTGGCTTGTGGAATCTAGGTTCCCCAACTAGGTATAGAACCCAGGTCCACTGCAGTGAAAGTATCACATTCTAACTACTGGGCAACCATAGAATTCTGAGATTCATTTTCAAAGTGAAGTTAGGCAGTGGTGTTTCCATTCTCTACAACAGGAGAAAAAAGCTTGTAGGAAGTTAAAGATAATCTGAACATTTATGTGAAAAAAACTGGATATATTAAAGAATATGGTTAAAGTATAAGTTTTTTAAAAAACAATTTTTAAGATAACTGAAGTAAAATTGTAAAAGGAGTATAGGGCCTCCTGTCCAAATGTTGGGTCCAACTACAAGCTATGAGAGGAAAAAGTTATTATTGGCAAGGGAGAAATGGAAGAATGGAATCAAATGGCAATGTCAGAAAGAGCTCTGCTTAATTTTTATATGCATGGCTTGGGGCTATAATAGCCCTATATGACCTGCCACATGCATCTCCTATCTAACCAGATAACTTATTCTTTGGATCATTGGGCTCCAGTCGTATTAGCCTCATGGAGCTACTCAGACACATCAGATGTGAATCTGATAGAGAGGCTTTGCACTTACTAGTTCCACTTCTAGAATACCTTTTCTGAAGTCAGACATATGACCTTATGGCACAACTCCATAACATTTTCTGCCCTCTTTGTGCTTTATTTTTCTGTTGAGTAATTTGTCTTCACCTGAAATATTAAATAGTTATCTCATTAATCTTTCTTGTCTGTGTTGCTGATGGGAATTAGAGTTACATGGCCCTACTCTTCCTACAGGTTCCATGTTCAGCAGAACCGCTTATGGACTCTTCACTGGTGAGTGTTGGTGTGCTGAAAGATTTTGCTGCTGCTCTTTGTGAACTTGTTGTCTGGACACCCTGGAGAAACTCTGAGTGCAGAATTTCAAGTCCAGGCCAGAGGGTATAGGGAAAGATTCCAAATTTGGCAACCAGGGGACTGAAATGTGAAAGATTGTAGGTATAGGGGTTAGTATGTACAAATGCTTGGGGATGTAATTGAGATGAGTGTATTTTAGGACTGTTGGGTCTCTGTTTATGCAGCAAGAACAGAGAACAAGGGAACCAGAGTCAGGGCTAGACTGGTAGCCTGATAAGATGAGTTTCTGTTCTGAGAATGATGGCAGAAATGGGATTTTTTTTAATAGAAAGGAAAAGTGATGTGACTTTAAGTTTTAAGAGGCTGCCTCTGGGTGCAGAATGCACAACAGCCTGGTGGAGAGGAAGACAAAGAAACATAGAAGCTGTCTTAATTTTCCAGATGTGCATGGCTCTGGCTGCACCAAAGTGGTGGATGTGGAGATATAAGAAATACTTGATTTCTACATTTTTTTTTTTTTAAAGTAAAGGCTGATCAGATTTTCCAGTGTGGAGGAATCACATGCCTCCAAAGTTTTTTCCTTTTGCATCTGGAAAGGTGGAAGTGCCATCAACTGATTTGGGGAAGTCTGGTAAGAGGACTTTTCAGTGAGAATATTAGGAATTGAGTTAAGCCTCAGATATTGCAGTGGCTCCCAAGTGTAGGAGACAAGTGGATGGCTGACCATATAGATCTAGAGTAATGGGGAGGCTTTCAGATGCTATTAGGGGACAGAGGAGACACAGACAAGGAAGAGGAGTGGTCATCAGCAAGAAGGTAGGGGGAAGGGGAAGGCCAGTTGGTAGGTCAGGTTTCTGTGGAGAAAAGCTATGATACTGATGCAAAAGAAAAGCAGAAATGGGATAAATTGATAGCAAAATCATGCTGGTGCTTATTTCTTCTCCTCTGACTCACTAGGCTTTCGTGGTGGAACTTGGGAAGCTTGTGACAGAATGTCACAGTTTCTGTAGGCTGTGTCAAGTGGGTGTGGATTTTGAATGGGTGTTATATGAACAAAGAATGTAACTGTTAAAGAGACATGATGTGCAGTATGGAAGTGGAATCTGACCAGAGGTATTTAGATTATGTGTCTTGTGACTGAGATAAAGTCAGGATCAAGGCCTGGTGAGAAAGCAAACTTTGTGGTCCAGGTGGTGATGATGGGGGTCAGATGTCTGAGAACGTCCACTGAGTGATATGATATGCATGTGGGGAAGGTGTGTGAACTGATTGACTAAGGACTCTGTAGTAGTACTTCGAGAAGGGTGGATTCAAGTTGCTGGTGTCTGGAGTGGATCACCCTGGGGACTGTCTGGCTGTTGTCTTACAGGAGAGGAAAGGGGCCCTGCATGCCAGGCCCACAGCCTAGAGGGCATCTGTCTGTAGACCTGCATGTTGTTGCTGGGATTTGGAGCTAGTGCTCAATCATGAAGAGTTTTGGGACCACTGCCCTCTAAATTAGGGAGCCAGGGAGGATGATGACACTAGAGTGAATGTGGATTAGGGTTGGAGGTGTTCATGGGGTCCTGGGGAAAGAGGCTGCTCATGCACACATCTGTTCCCATCATCATAGAGCCCTGTGACCTTTGAGGATGTGGCTGTGTACTTTTCCCAAGAGGAATGGAGGCTCCTTGGTGAGGCCCAGAAATTCCTGTACCGCGATGTCATGCTGGAGACCTTTGCACTGGTTGTGTCCTTGGGTAAGGCCCTCGCCCCTATCCCAGCATCCTGGACAGGTGTCTGCCTTTCCCCTTTTCTCTAAGAGCAAGTCTGTTCTGTTCACAGCTAGACGGTGGGCACCTCTTTATTACTGCTTCCCTCCCCTTTGTGCTGTGGGTGCCAAGACTGAGTGAGTGTGTGTTCCACCTCCTTTCACAGGTGGCCCCAATGCCAGTGGCTGAAGTTTTCTCAGTAAAAATTTTCTGTATCATAAGCCTTGGAGTTAGCTTAGTGATTTCCATTCATTTCAGGCTCTCCCTGCCAAGTTGACTCTCTAGACCCCTGTACCTTTTTGCAGCTTTTGCCTCCTTCCTGCTGACATTTCCTTGGGCCTCACTCTTTCAGGAATTGTTGGGACCCAGCATGGTCACCATTTATGGGGTGCACTTGGCTATAGCTATGAGACTCAAAGATTATTTTTATCATTATTTTTTTCTTGAATTCTTTTGAGATTGGTTGTTTTCCTATGGACAGTACTTAACGCTAACCTGTCTTGTTCTTCTCTTAGAATGTGGATCTTCTAAGTCCCAAGTTGTTGTCCAGTTGAAGCTGGGAAGACAACCTTGGGTATAGGAGAGAATGGACATGATTCCAGGCACAGGAAGCAGGGCTCAAAATGGGTCTGGTCCTGGTGATTGGCATCACAGGGAGCAGTGACGTTGTGGCTGGATTCAGTAAAATTTTGAATATGTCCTGGCCCCAACACTGTTTGTGGTCTAAGAGCAGTGACTTGTTATCTCACTTCTATCTCTCTTCCATTCTTGACACATTCCCCCTGTGATTTCTACTCTGGCTTCCAACCAGGATTATCCCTCACCTCTCTGGCTTCCACTCCTCATTGTTCCTCAACATCCTCACTCTAATGCTTTCCACTGTTTGCCTATGCTTACTGTGTCATAAAACCTGCACCTCTCCTTAAAATAGTCCTGAACACCAGCTACTCAGTGACACAATATCCTGGGCCTCGACATAGCTTTCCACACAGCACACAGGTGTCACCAGCAGCCAAGGCCCTGGTGAAAACCGTTCCTGTAGGAGTGCGTTGTGGACCCCTGGCTCCTCCATTTAATATTGTGTCTTTTGCCTGGTGAGTCCTTCCTGTTCTGTGATGTGTAGAAGCCCAGTTCTACAGATTGGGGCTTTTCCTTATCTGCGCAGAGCTCCTTTGTCCTGAACTAGTCCCATGGATTTATTCTTTCTGTGTCAGACACATATGGCGCAACACATTTGCCTTTTTAAAAAAGCTTTTCCTGCATTAAGTTCACCCGCGTTTTTCTGATTTCAGGGTGTTGTCATACAGCAGAGGATGAACAGACACCTTCTGAGCAGAATTTTTCTGTAGAAGTGCTGCAGAGAAATACCCAAAAGACAGACCTGTCCACCCAGAAGATCTGTCCCTGGGAGATGGGTAACCTGGCCTTAGAAGGTGGTTTGTGTGTACCCGAGGTACTGCGAACAAACCCTGGCCAGACACTGTGTGGGACAGATGTGAAATCCCACCAGCACGGTGGAGAGAAACTCATGAGAAGAGTTTTGGGTAAGGCCTTAATGAAGAACTGCACAGTCCATGCATTGAAGAAGGCTTCTGTGTGCCAGGAGGTGAGGAAGGATTTCCCTGGTGGCTCTGGCCATGTCCAGCACCAGGTTAAACCACAAATGATGGAGTTTGTAGCAGAGTTTCACAATGGAGAAAAGCGTTTCAAGTGCAATGAGTGTGGGAAACTCTTCTACCGGAAGTCTAGGCTTGCTCAGCACCATAGAGTCCACACCGGAGAGAAGCCTTATGAATGCAGCGAGTGTGGGAAAGTCTTTAGATGCAGCTCCAGCCTTGCTATACACAGAAGAATTCACACAGGGGAAAGGCCTTATGAGTGCAGAGAATGTGGAAAATTCTTTAGGCAACACTCCCAGCTTGTTGTGCACCAGAGAATTCACACTGGAGCCAGACCATATGAGTGCAGTGAATGTGGGAAAACATTCAGTACTAAAACCAAACTTGATCAGCACCAGCGAGTCCACACCGGAGAGAGGCCTTATGAATGTGGAGAGTGTGGGAGAACCTACACCTGTAAACGCATGCTTATTCAGCACCAGCTAGTCCACACTGGAGAGTGGCCTCATGAGTGCAATGAATGTGGGAAAGCATTTAGATACATGGCCAGCCTTGTTATGCATAGAAGAATTCACAGTGGGGAAAGGCCTTATGAGTGTAGTGAATGTGGGAAGTCCTTTAGGCAAAGAGCCCACCTTCAAGTCCACCATAGAATTCATACTGGAGCAAAGACTTTTGAGTGCAGTGAATGTGGAAAATGTTTTAGCCAAAATTCTATTCTTACTACACACCAGAGAGTTCACACTGGAGAAAGGCCTTACAAGTGCTGTGAATGTGGGAAATGTTTTAGCCAGAAATCTACTCTCATTAAGCACCTGAATTTACACTGGAGAAAAGTCACCTGAGTGCACCAAATGTGGAGAATTTCTTTAACCATAGCACCTGAAGGAGAAAAAAAAAGCTGAAGAGTTCACACCACAGAAAGACCTCACAAGTGCAACAAATAGGGAAATATTTTCTGTCATAGGTCAGCTCTGATTGAGCACTGGACCTTCACAGCCCAGATAAACCCAAGAGTGCACAGAATGTAGGAAAGCGTTCAGCTGAAGGTATAGCCACACTGGTCACCAGAAAGTTCATCCTGGAGAAAGACCTTCAAGCGAGATGAAGAGAGAGGCCAGTGAGCTGTCTCCTTAATGAATGCATCTTACTGAACAGGCTCAGCTGAAAGCTAATGCCAAATCCATGTGCACAGCCCTGGTGTGGAGAGGGCCTATGGATACTTGGTTCTCCGGAAGCTTTAAGGAGCTAACATCTACTTCCTTACCTGTGCAGCAGCCTTGCCAGACTTCATGTCACTGTGAGTTTCTTCCCTCTACCAAGTGGCAGATTCCTGTTCTGGTCATCAGTCCCCCAGTGTGATCAGGGTAGGTAGACCTTTGTACTCTCCTGTCCCTTGGAGGGAAGCATGTGTAGCCTGAGCACTTGGGTGATGTCATGCTCTTAGATCCTGTCAGCTGCCTAGGATATGGCCTATGTAGCTTTGATCTTGGGCATCCAGTGTGGGTTCTACTGGCAGCTCATAGAGGTTTACTTTGCTGGTACTGGGTTGTGTCATGTTCAAGATGGATTTTCTAGCTCCAAGTCACCCTTTGGGGAACTGCCTCATTTTGCACTGCTTTGTGTAAAAATAAAGACTATTGTTTAAGGCAACATGCATCTTGGGGTTTGTTCACCTTCAGACTGCTGTTAAGAACTAAACCGGACTGTCAAGATGAAGAGTAAAAAAGTTTTATGGGTGTTTAAGACTTTGTATAATACCTCAGTTGGAATGATACGACAGAGAACAATGTTCAGTATAGTTTTGGTCTAATTTGCGTTGTCCAAGGGCTCCTGGTATGGACTCCAGGGCTCTGTGGAACTAATGCTGTGACCTGGATGTTAAGATTTTTAATGGGTCCCGAAAGGATTTTTGATGGGTCCCAAGGCCAACTTGAGATGAGGTCTGTGAGCAGCACCAGTGGTTTTTGGAGCTGCGTGAATTGTTCTCTTTTCACGTGGGATATCACATCATCCCCCCAGTACTGTTCAATGGAAGAAGTTCTCTAGGTCCAGCTGGAACAGAGCCATGTGCCATAATGTGCATAGTGTGGCAGGCTGGTGTTGCTGAGTGTTAGGCTACAGACATTGGGGGGAACCATACTTGGTTCAGAAACGGGAGATTAGTAGGAACTGACAATCTAGCAACAGGAAGGGATACAACTTCTAAAAGGGTATTCATAAATGTCCCCATAACTGTGGCTGTTGATAAGGTTTTTGCAGAAATTTTCAGAAGTTACAGACGTGTTTCTCTTCCTCTTGAGCCTGCAGTCAGTGACTGAAGAATGTAAAGGTTTTAGCATCGCATAGTGTCTGCAAAGTGTTTATCTTAAGGGCATTGCTGCACAGTGAAAGCAGTGGGTAAATGAGAGTGAGAGTCCTGTAGTCCAGGCATGTGATTTTTAGGACCCAGGCAGAGTTCCTAAATAACCCAAGTGTAAGCACCTTTTTATTGTTCGGCAGTCTTCATTTCTACTGTGACAGAATTCCTCCCATGAGACCAGGAGAGGTGATGGATTTGAGGTGTGGTTGCCAGAGTTCTTTTCCAAAATGGAGATTCAGATTTTTATATGAAGCCAGTTTCCCGATTTGGTTGAGATGTACAGTTGCCATGCACTGAGCATAACTGCAGCTGAATTACCAAACTTACCAGCTTGGTAAGTTTTAACACTTGCAAAGTCACAGAACCGTCATCATAGCAAACATCCATCACTACCATATGTCTCCCAGAATCCCAGACAACTACTATTGACTGATTTTTCTCTCATTAAATTAGTGTTTTCCAGACTTCTAATATCATTGGTTTCTCTGGTGGCTCAGATGGTAAAGAATCCACCTGCAGTTAGGGAGACCTGGGTTTGATCCCTGGGTTGGGAAGATCCCCTGGAGGAGGGCAGGGCAATCTACTCCAGTATTCTTGCCTGGAGAATTCCCATTGAGAGAGGAGCCTGACGGGCTATAGCCCATGGGGTTGCACAGACTTGGACAGGACTAAGCACAGCAATATCATTGAAGAAGTCTAAATGATTACTTTTGTAATTGTCGTTTTCTTTCCCCATGCACAGTTATTTTGATCTAAGTTGCCAATGTGAATAACTCATTTTTTCCTGATAAATATGCTATTTGATATATTTTCATTTTATTTTTTAATCCACTCATCTCTTAAAAAAATGGGGTTTTGTGGTTTGTTTCTAGTTTGCCTGTCACAGATGAGCTTACTGTAATCATACATAAAATCCTTTATATGAACATCCAGCTTCATATTCTAAAATGAATTACTGTACGCATTTGCATTCCCTTCAACAGTATTCAGTTCCCCTGTATTCCTCACCAGTACTTGGTTGGTATGGTCAGTATTTTAAATATACCTGTTTGAGAAGTGTGGAGATGTATCTCCCTATGATTTGATTTCATTTCCCTACTGATTCATGATGTTGACCATTTTTGTATTTTATTGGCAAGTGTATGTCTTCTTTGACATAATGTCTGTTTTCTTATTAATGACTGAGAATAAGATAAATATGTGGGAACTTGACTTTCTTTCAGTGACTGACTTTGCTGAGTGGCATAAATATTTGTACTGACAACATTATTCACCATGTATACTCCTCATTATTAACATATTTCTATTTAGGCCTAGACAGTTAATAAAAAAGGCAACTGACCTTTCCTTATTGTATTTGCCAATTTCCTGGCATGAATCCTCCAACTGTGGGCAATTTATGCTGTTTGTGTGTGGTTGCTACTGAACCAGAGGCGCAGCAAGCTAAATGCTGAGATGCCGAGGTTTGCTGGGGGGAATTTTCTTTCACAAGACAGCCACATGAGGACACAGAAGGACAAGTTTCAGAACCACCACCTTCTTGGAGGTGAGGTGCTTGTGATATTTAGGGGATAAAGAGGCAGCCTGCTCTTAGGTGTGGGGACAAGCGATCAGAGAAAAGGTGAGTTAACTGGTGTGTACATTACATGCTTCTTCACAGATACATGTTCATAAATGGAGGCACTTTGCATGATCTGAGCATGGAATTTTAGCCATCTGATGTCAAAATTCATTCATCAGACACCTGGGCAGGCCCAGTTTTAGGGGTTGGTAGTTTTGATCATTTGTAGCCTGCTCAAACTGGAAAAGAGTTGACTCCAGGTTCCCAAGAACTTGAGACTCCTTTACTATAGTGACCCATATGTCAGAGGTGTCACCTCTAGGGCTTGTTAAGATGTCACTTCTTGTGTTAGCACCTTGGCCATGGGAAACATATACAACTAAAGGAAGGGGAGGGAGGTCCCCAGAGCAAGCTTAATCAGTGAAGGCAGCTTACAAGCAGGAGGGTTTTAACATGCTGTTTTCTTTTCTGTAGTTCTGTAATACAAGCCCAAGAATTTGTCGTTTGTCAGCTTCTGTTCATCCTTGGGGCATGTTTCAAGGTCACCCGATGTGGACGTGGGAAGACAGGTGCAGTAGCACACCTTTGTACTCTATTTCCATTATCAGATGACTTTATCCTTGAGAACCCAGATAATATTAAAATGCATTAAAATAGGAATGGTATGAGTTTTGAGTATCTTTACTTGGCCTATGTAAAGGAAGACATACAGGCCTGAGTTGTGCAACCTCTTCATTCCAAAGAAATGTCTGGCACTGACTTGCCTAAATCCTGGGAGATAACCTCTAAGCAGTTGACATATTTGGCTCAATAAGAGTGTCTTTGTTTACCTGGGGCCTTCCTTGTGCTGGGCTATGCAGTTTATGTTAATACTGTACTGGGATATTGAGAGGCTTAGGTTCTCGATACCAGTTTGACATTTGGAGAAGCTGGAGAGTAACAGGTCAGTCACACGGGTGCCCCTTGTCTGTGTGACAGACACTCCGAAAACCTGGACAATACCTAGGCTTGCATGGTGTTCCCTTTTAGGAATAGTAGATGTGCATTGTCATGTGTCGATGTCAGACTGAAGTGGAGTGGTAGGGGGCAACTGGAAGCTGGCAACGTGATCTCTCTTGGACTCTGTCCTATTGTGCCATCTTTCTTTGCTGATTTTTATCTGTATCCTTCACTGTAATAAGCCATGCTGCTGCTAAGTCACTTCAGTCGTGTCTGACTCTGTGCGACCCCATCCCTGGGATTCTCCAGGCAAGAACACTGGAGTGGGTTGCCGTTTCCTTCAGTTAAACAGCTTCCATGAGTTCCATGAGTCCTATGGAATCTGAGGGTGGTCTTGGGTATTCCGGAACATAATTCTGTTTTGAAAGGGTTTCCTTAAGGATAATTGATGTGAAACATTTTAGCAGTGCAGGCTTTGATAAAGTTTTTCCCATGCTTATACTTCTCAAGCCAAAAGTTTTCTCATGCCATTTGAGAGTTGTCCCCCTTTTAACTATAAAATACAAACCTGAAAATCCTTTCTGGAATAGATATTTTTCAAACATAACAAAAATGGGAAGTGCCCTGTTTGATGCCCAGTGAACCAATTTGCAATTTTCCACCATTATTGATAATTTCTTGGGTATTGTTCATTCATATTCTCACATTATGGGTCATTTTCACATAGAACGCCTAGCCTTGTCCTGTCTCAAAAGACTCATGTTAGTACTTATTTTCAC